GGGGGGGTCCCCGCAGTTCGCCCTGTATTCTTTGTCTCGGGGCGCGGACGGGAGCTCCAGCCTTAGCCCGGGACCCCCGGCCGATGCCTTCCTCTCACCTCTGGGCCCCCACCTACGGGGCAGGCCAGTCCTTGGCCCCAGAACTCCGGCCGCCGTGGTCGGAAGCGAGGCCGCGGGTAGAGCCCCGGGTCTCCGCGGCCCGCTCGGTTCCGGAGACCGCGCGCTTGGCCCGCCGCAGGACACCGTTCTCGACTTCCCTCTGACGAAGCTGGGGCGTCCTCCCGACCCTAGGGTCCCCCCTTCCCCCCTTCCTGCACACACCCGGGATTTGAGGCCCATCCTGAAGCCATCTCTGCCTGTGCAGAGCAGAGAAAGGGGTGTCCTGGAAGAAGCGCCCTGGTGCCAGGGTTCATGGTGCATCATCCCCAGCCACCTGCCCGCCAGGACAGGCCGACCTAACCCCCCATTTCCTTCTCATTTCCTACCAGGTTTTGTGGGACCCACAGCCGATGGGGAAAAAAGCAGCCCAAGAAACGCTCGGCAAGGCGCGCACCCATAAACTGCTGGGCTCCCTGCTCCCGCAGTAGACGCGGGACACACGTCCCGGGATCCTCCGGGACCCTCTGGGGTCCCCGAGTGCCCCCGCGTGGGGAACCTCGGAGCTGACAGGCACCTTCAGAGGCGGGTCGCGGGCACCAGTTGCTGCGTTTGGAATACTCGCTGCTCTGCGCTCTCCTCCCCGCACACAGGCGCCCGGCCAGCCGGGCCACGTCGGCCGGCGGTCCACAGCGACGGGAGGAACCTGCCTGCCCCCTGCAAAAGCGGAGACGCCGGATCTGCGCAGAAGCCGCCGGGATCCCGGGCCGCGAACCTGCCCGGGCGGCCGTCCTGCAGCCCTGCGGTCCCCAGGCTACTCTTGCGCAGCTGGTGGCGCCGCACGTCCTTGCACCGGGCTTTCCCAGTCATCAGGAAGGCTGTCAACCAGCCCCTTCGTCCTACCTGTCCCTTCATGTCCTTGTGATTGATACCAGCCCCACTGTGGGCAAGTTTTCCGCCCCCGCAAAGCACAGCCGCTGCTCCGCGGGGACACAGTTCTGCAGCTCTCCATTCGCAAGGCGCAGGCGGCCCAGCTGGCTGGGGACAGGCCCTGGTGCGTAATACCTGTTTAGAGTTAGACTCAAGAGTCCTTGGGGCGCGAGAATGAAGGGGCCAGCCCGGGTGGAGAAAGGCAGCACCTGGCAGGAGTGGGCACCACGCGCTTGCCCCCTCCCCCTGCACCCCACACCTTGGGTCTGACCTTGGTTGGACAGGTTACTGATACCCCAAGACTTTAAAGTTCGCGTGGTAATATTAATAACCTATCTCTTTGAACTGTCATGAGGATTGAATGAGATGATGGACGTAAAGCTCTTAGAACAGTAAAGCTCTGGGTAAGCACTCGACAAGCATTAGCTCTAATAGTAATGACAGGACTCCTTGGAAGAGTCAGATGCCTTGACTGACAATTTACTCAGCCTAAGCCCCCATGTCTCCAGTGTCCTAGGCTGGTTTGCAAAGGAAGACGGGCACTCAGGATATTTTATCTTACTGAAGAGAGTCAGAAATAATGGGCAACCCACTAGCAATGAGCACCTTAACAGCCCAGACTGTGGTGTATAAATACTTTTATCTGCTAAAAGTGATTAGAGCTCCTTTGAGAAATGACTGATTCTAGGTCTGGGGCAGAAAGTGTTCAAAATTTTCTTGGAATTTTTTGTCATGCCAGAAAGTAAAGACACTATCAAAGAGTACTAGGGTTGTATCAAAAGATCTCTCAAACTAATGTAAATCAGCTCCTACAGTTCAAAGGTCAGACATTTAAAATATCAGCAAGGATGATGTTTGTGGGAGAATAAAACATCGAATCATTTAAAATTCATAAAGATTTTTTTAATCTGATAAATTAAGGGAAAGAATCAAGCATTAATTATACCTTTCTATATAAAATCTACCTCACATTAAGCAAATCACAGTGAGGAGAAGTGTCTATTTATAAAAGCATTCCAGCTAATAAGTGAACAAGTGATGTTAGAATTAGAATATCTGCCAGTTAACCATACAAATGAATTAATGGAGCTCAGCAATAATCATCAATAGTTGCTGACATCACATTAAAAAACTAGCATTCCATATTTCCTGATGAAACACATCACCATCTATGATGTGACCTTACCAAGACCAAAAAAAAATTGAACTTGAATCTGATCAAGTCTCTAATTTAGATTCTTATTTTTTTAAAAAAAATGCAGGGAGATAGAGAAACATGTTAAATGATTACCGTGGGGATGAAATTAGCAAAACTCAGTCTGTGAGAAACCTTACAGGACAGAAAACCCAGTTCTTCAATTTTAAAAAATTGCAAGAAAAAATAAAGATGTAGGAGGAAACTACATATTAAGAGAGACATAAAAGACAAACTAATTGTTCCAGCTATCTAAACTTGCATAACAAATCACTCCCAAGCATAGTGCCTTAAAATAATAACAACACTAAATTTGCTCATGAACCTTTAATTTAGGAAGGGCTCTTTAGGACAATTTATCTTTGCTCCACTCAATTAGCTGGGATGACAAGAAGGTTTGGGGCTGGAATCATAACATCTCCATAATCTGTTGTGGCTTTGTATTATATTCAGCCTTGAAATGTTACTTAACTGTTTCATGTGACTAAGTTTGTCTCCCAACTAAGCTTCTGGAGAAAAAGGACTGGATTGTACATGTTTCTTACATTCCCTTTTATGCCCAGATGCTATGGTCTGAATGTTTGAGCCCTCCCCCCCAAATTCATATGTTGAAACCTAATCGCCAATGTGACAGTGTTTGGACGTGGTTAGGTCATGAAGGCAGAGCCCTCATGAATGGAATTAGTGCTCTTATAAAAGCAGCCCCAGAAAGATCCCTCACCCCTTCTGCCATGTGAGTTTACACTAGAAGATGCTGTTTATGTACCAGGTGGTGGGCCTTCACCAGACATTGAATCTGTTGGCACCTTGATCTTGGACTGCTCAGCCTTCAGAAATGTGAGAAGTAAATTTCTGTTGTTTATAAGTCACCCAGTCTACAGTGTTTTGTTATAGCAGCCCAAATGATCTAAGACACCAGATCAGGGCCTTAACATAGTAGGTGTTCAATAAATATGAGATGCTGTATGAAGGTAGACATTCTTTTTCTCTGAGCCTTCCCCCCCACCCTTCGCTGAGGCCAGACCAACGCTTTATAAGTAGACAGAGAGACAGAATCCTTTGCAGAAAAATAAATTGTAGCAGTGATTAATCAGCACAGGATCTTTGCAAAGACTAAAGCTTTTATTCTAACTAGAACTCATCTACTTTCTGAAGATTCTTTTTCTGAGTCCTTTGTGAAGATAATAGCCTCATTGATGCTCTCAGTGATATAATCTATGTTGCAGGCATTGATACAGGTGAAGTTAATTCGACCATTCTTGGGGATGTAGATATGTTTCTTCTTGACCAGGTATTGTACCTGTTCGACTGGTGATAATGACAGGGTCTCAGATTCTGGAGTGGCCACCTCTAAGACCCCTCTAGTCCAAGGTGGATTATGGGGGATAGGGAGCACAGCATTTCTGGGGGCCAGAGGGGTCTTCAAAGCAGCTCCACTTTTCTCAAGAAAGATTCAAAATCTGGTGTGAAGCTAGGGATTGGTTAACTAGTCAGTGAAGTTGAATATTCAAATACAAGCCCAAGGTCAGAAAGGGGAGAGCTATCCCCTCCTAGACACTTACACTTGAGTCCAAGATAGCCATGGATTCCACTCTGATTAGTGATGTGATCCCAGGAGCCAGGGGTTCCCAGGAGCCGGAGCTTCTCCTTAACCTTTTCTTTGATCAGCATAATGTTCTCTACAACTGCTTTCAGATTCTGCTTCCTACCAAAGGAAGGACAGCAAGAAATTAGAGTGTGAGGTCTCTTCCTGCTCCCAAACTCCTCATTGCCGTTCCACTTCCCTTCCCTTCAAAAGCCCCCAATCAGAGTGCCTGAGGGCACACTAGTAGAGCCAGGGATCTGAGATAGTTATGAATGGGAGAAAAGTTTCAGCCTGTATTAATTTAAGCCAGCCAAGCAGACTCTTAGGCAGATTTTGCCTAAGAGTAGCAAGCCCTTGAGGCTTCCTAACCTCCTGTAATCTAGAAGAGTTTGAATAATTCACCAGCCCATGTCCCAAAAGAAGATTTTATTACCCACTCCCCCATAGTAGAGCAAGAGTTGGCATAGCCACTGCCATTGGAATATAGTGGGTCCTCAGTAAATGTTGATGAATGAATGGAGTAAAGAGGCAACAGGGGCGGGAAAAGAAGCACACAGCTGAATCCTGTGAATCAGAAAGCCTGTAGGCATCTAGAGGCTCTGCCCATCCCTCCCTGTCCTCACCCTTTACCCTTACCATGCTTCCTGCAGAGCAGGGTTACAGAGGATGGAGGTGATAATGCGAGCACCCGTGGTAGGAGGGTTTTGCCACAGGGCCAGGACCAAGTTCATCAGCTGGGAGAGGACACACAGCAGGAACTGGTTGTTGTGTGCCACCACAACTAGGATCCCCACTCCTTCATCTGCAGCATTGAGACAGACAGCCTTGTTCTCAGTCCTCAGTCTCCTGCACCATTATCAGGGCCTTCCCCTGTAATTCTGTCTCCCACCTTGCAGGAGAGAGGTGTAACCCACAGGGCCCTCATCCCTGCCCAGGCAAGCTAGTGTCTAGGCCCCAGAAAGTTGCCGGAGGCTCTTATTCCAGAAGGAGTACCTTTAAGCAAGAGTCTCAAAGGGACTAGGAAGGGACTGGTAAGATAATTAATTCTTAACCCCTCATCTTATAGATGAGGAAATGAGGTCTAAGGGGGAAATGATGTAACTGGAGCCAGTTTTAGTAACTGAGCTGAGATGATACCGCAGAACTGGACTTCTAGCTCTTCTCCTGGGCCACCATGCTGCTCACTCTGAAGGCCTTGGCTCTCTCCACAGGGTAGGAGATGTCAAACACATTGTTCGTGCCAGCACTTGGGTGTGGCAGCACTTTAGCACCAGACCCTCCCTTCTCCTTCTGCCCATACTATACCATAAATGCCAAAATTCTTGGACAAGGACTGACTGCAAAAGAACTCAAAGCCTTCAGACACAAAGTATTGTAAGAATCTAGTATCTTCTTCCAGGTCACCGGTAGATAAACCTTGATTGGGAATGTCAAAAAATGGGAATATCTGCTTTCTCTGTAGGAGAAAGGAGAATGAGAAAAATGATGAGACTGATGAAAGCAATGGTAGATGGTGAGAGGGGGAAGTCAGGTAAGACGCTGGGCTCACCTTCATGACGGCCAACAACTTTGCCCACTGGCCGGGTGTCAAGTTGCAGCTGCCAATGTTGCCAATCACAAAGATACAGCCATCTGGGACCTGCTGCAAGTAGAGGCTATCTCGTCGGGACTGCCCCTACCAAGTGGTAGTGGCACAAGGGTATTGGAGGAGAAATGACCCTTCGTGTTGGTTCCTACCAAAGGACTAGACAAATCCAAACCTAGAAAAGGCCTTGGATAATCAGAGGAGTGGGGAGGGAAGGAAAATACAACTGTAAATCAGGTCTGGGGAGAAGTTTCTGAGCGGGGGTCCTCTACCTCCACCACACTGAGGAACGTGTTAGCATCCATGCACAGCTGTTCGGAGTGCCAGAAGGAGTGTTCATAAATTGTAAAGCCCATGTCCTGGAAGACGAGTCCATGCTGTTCTGTGGGAACACAACCCCCCACCTGCTGGTACGTGCGAAATGGAGAGATGGAAGCAGACATACCAGAGAATGGGTTTGAGGGTCATGGTTGGAAGTGGAGCGATGACAAGAATAGGACAAGCATACACTGGCTTGTCTACCATTTGTCATGACAGAGAGTGAGAAGGACAACAGTGAAGATTGTAAATGGAGTGGGAATTAGGAAAGGGACAGGGATCTTCTGTCACCCTCACCTTGCATAACACTCACCTCTTTGAGAAGAAAAGATGTAAACAACTTGAGAATTCTGACGCCAAATTTTGAGGAACTGGGCCCCAAGTTGGAAAGCACCACTGTCACCAACAGTGTGCACACCCCCTACCTGCCAGCAAAAAATAAACGGAAATAACACTTTAAAAGAGTAATGGCAATATTAGTACCACCTCAGATTCAGATCATTCCTTCCTTGAAAGAGCTTGCACGGTGCAGTGTGGGCCAAGAGCACAGGCTTTGGGTTCTGATGCCCACTCTGCCCTTCAATGACAAGCTTTGGACACTTTGAGCCTCAGGTGTCTCCTTTGTTAATGCCAGGGGGCTCTCCAAAGTCTCTTTCAGGTTTAAGGTTGTGCAGTCTCCAATGTCCACATCCTGTGTCCGGGTGAATAAGGGAGGGGCCCTTCTTCTCACCCTGTTCTCCACAATGACTTGGCTGTGCTTTCCAAAGAGAAGTTCCAAGGAGGCCTGGATGAATGATTTCATGCCCAACACCGGCAGGTACTCATAGTTGAGGGAGGGGTCCTGTGCGAGCTGCAGTCGGATCTTTTGCACCACAGAAGAAACCCAGGGTTGTCCTTCATTGGTCATGCAGACTGTGAGAAGAACCACAGAAAGTGCTCTGGAAGCCTCTGGGCTCTGCTGACAGCCCACAAACAATTCCTCTGTCCTGGCTTTCTTGAAGCTTTAGAAAGTTGCCTGGGAAAAGACAACTTTCTTTCCCCACCCCTCCCTTTTATAAAAACAATATACTGTTAATGAATATTTCTACTTTCTATCTTTAAAATTTTTTTTTTATTTTAAGCCAGCTTGGTGTAGCTCAGTGGTTGAGCATCGACCTATGATCCCAGAGATCGTGGTTCGATTCCCAGCCTGGGCACATGCCCAGGTTGCAGGCTCAATCCCCAATGGGGAGGGGAATACAGGAGGTAGTCGATCAATGGCTCTCTCATCCTTGATGTTTCTCTCTCTCTCTCCCTCTCCCTTCTCTCTGAAATCAATAAAGACATATTTTTAAAAATTTTTTATTTTAGCCTGGCCAGGTGTGGCTCAGAGGTTGAGCATCGACCTAGGATCCAGGAGATCATGGTTGGATTCCCGGTCAGGGCACATGCCGGGGCTGCAGGCTCTATCCCCAGTCAGGGGCCTGCAAGAGGCAGCCGATCGATGACAACTCTCTTATCATTGATGTTTCTCTCTCTCTCTCTCCCTCTCCCTTCCTCTCTCTGAAATCAATAAAGATATATTTTTAAAAATTTATTTTAAAATATGTTTTTATTGATTTTAGAGAGAGAGGAAAAGAAAGGGAGAGAGAGAAACATCAATCAGCTACCTCGCACATCCGGGATCAAACCCACAACCTGGGTATGTGCCCTGACCGGGAACTGAACCAGCAACCTTTTGGTACACAAGACAACACTCAACCAACTGAGCCACACTCACCGATTTTTGTCTTTTTAAAGAGACAACTGAAACCTATGCCATTTTAAAGGGCAGAAATGATATACAACCTGGGAATTATAGATACCTGAGATTAAACAAAGGCAACACTGACTTTCACAGTGTCAAGGGCTGGCTGTTCATCAGAAGAGTCCATTTTGGGAACCATTCTTGGTTCAGGAACAAAACAGGGGTGGAAGAAGAGGTGGAAGAAAGCACAGTGCTCATGCGGGCCCCACATAGAGCCGGGGAAGAGAATATGCCAGAGCTTATACCAAATCTCTGGAAGCCCCCTGAGAAAGGCAGAGAGCACAGAATGACCCAGGACATTTTCTGCTCTTTTCCTCACCGGGCAATTCTGTTAACAAGAACAGACTCCTCCACTTGCTGATGCTGGCGTTATTCCAGTTCCTTTGAAGCAATGGAATATTGCCCTCTAGAGGCAATTTGCTATACTGAGTCTTAGACATCTACCTTTATAGGCTAGGAACATCTTCTTAGTGCATTCGTCACGTTTGTAGGTCTTTAACAAGCTGCCTTCTAGCTTCTGTGCTAGGGGTACATCCAAGAACACTGAAAGGGTGGACATCACTGAGCTGAAAGTAGAACCAAGACTATGACTCCACTCCTGTGCTCTCTCCTGCTTCCGCCTGAAGCCTTCCTCTAAGCCCAAGCCACACAGATCTGCCTCTTCCCAGAACCCTGGTAGCTCCAATGCAGAGGCCCCAGGCAACTGGTCACCAGAGCAACAGAACCCAACTCCCAGTCTCCATGGTGGCGATCCTCAAGGACTATGGGAATATTCTGTGGCACTTGAAGAGAATCTCATGAGGGGTGGCTGGGGGCGGGGGGAGGGAGGACCCGGAATTTCCAGGCACTTGTCCCTAACTCATTGCCTTCTCTTCTCTGGTTCCAAGTCACTCAATCCAAAATAACAAGTCAACCCTTTAGAAGATATGGCAATACCTGGAAATAAATGAAAGTGAACACACAACAACCCCAAATCTATGGGACACAGCAAAAGCAGTCCTGAGAAAGAAGTTTATAGCATTACAGGCCTACCTCAAGAAGCAAGAAAAATCTCAGACAATCTAACTGGCCCCTGACATGGAGGAAACCCAGAAAAAATTATGCCAACTGCATGAGGAGAGAAGTTGGAAAGAACACATTAGCTGACTCAAGCCTTTAATTCCTGTCAGTATCAGTGTGGGGGTTTGGGTTCTTGGTTGTAAGCAACAGAAACTGAATGGCTGATTTAAGCATAGGAGAGATTTGGTAGCTCACATAATTGACAGGGAAGCTGGAGATTTTGGAGCAGCAGCCTGACTACAATCAGGCCCCAGAAGGAAGCAGGTAAGGATCTCACTGCTGCAAAACAGACGACACGGTGGCTGGCTCCACCCCCATATTCCTCAGCTGGCCCCACTTCAACTGCAAGTCCAGCAGATGGGTCCTCGGTGCCAAAGCTGCTGCCCTCACACTGTCCATCCTTTCTCACTAGCCTGCCTGAGACACAGAAGGGAAGTCTATGTCTCATTGGCTAAACCTACTCACGTGACCCGCTGGCCCCTCCCGGTGCTCTAACTAAGGGCTGGTAAGACTGTGAGGGTCTGATTATTTCAGCTTCAATTGTGATGGGTGGGCTCTGTTTCCCACCAAGACTCAGAAAACAGAGAATTCTCCAAACTCTAGTAAAGAGGTCCACAGGCTAAGCAGCCAAAAAAGACAAATTTTCACACAATTATACCACACCTTTCTCTCTCTTCTCCCAGTAGACTCATCTACTGCTGCTACTTCTCATTTCACAGAGACAATGAAAGCAATCGAAAGAGGCTTCCAGGTGCTCTCATTGTAACTACCAATCTACCTACACAGGTACCCACCTACTCTCTCTTCTCTTAGTACAATGCTTGAGCCCACCTCTCCTGTGCTCCCATCTCAATCCAACCTTTCCCTTTGTGCCCTGGATCCCAGCTACCATACTCCTGCAATTGTTCTTTCTCTTCTCTATCATCAATTCCACCTCTCTACTGGAACATTCTCACAAACAAACAAAAACACGCAGCAAAACTTCCACTTTAAAAACAAACAACACTCCCTTGACCTCACATCCCCTCTGCAGTTATTACCCCCAGGGTTGAGCCAAGGAAACGGATCTGCTGGGAGTGATGTGGGTGTTACAGGCATTAGAGTTCACACTATTGGAGGGGGACCTGGGGAAGTGAAGGTCCAAAGAAGGGAGCTGGAGAATCAGAGAAAAATCATTAATTCAGGCTGCCTGTAGCACCTGTGCATGGACAAATCAGAGCTTGCAGGGAAATTCAAGAAGCCAGGCTCATCCAGCTGCAGGAAATGATACCAAGAATGGGGGGATCATGCACAGAGAGGTCTATAGGAAGATATGGCTTCTCTGCAGCTACCACACCTGTGGGTCTGCAGCCAAGTGTCTGGTGGTGAGCCCCGCTGCTTGGATGAATGGCAGGGTCAGCAGGCTGGAAGCCGAGTTGGACAGAGAGCTGTCTGCAGACGAGTCAGAACCAACCTACCACCTCTCCTTCCATGTCTTACCCTGGAGTCCTTCAGATATTAGTGGACGCTGTTTCACTTCCGCTCTCTCAAATCTTGAGCAAGAGCCTCTTTGGAGAACTCTAACCTGGAATCTAACAAGGATTCTGAGAAACAGGGTGCCCAGATTGACCAAAATAACAGAATCATCAGCCACCGCATTTCTCTGGTCCCCTTCAGAGCAATGCTATTGAGAGAACGTCTTATACTCTCCATCTCCGCTACTTCACCTCCCCAGTTCTGCTGAACCCGCTGTGATCAGCCTTCCATCCCCTTCACACCATCAAGCCGCTCTCAGCAAGGTAACAAATGTCAGACCTTTGTTCTGTCAAATATGAAGGTGTGTTCTCAGTTCTCCTCTTATTTGATGTTTCAACAGCATGTGACAAAACTGACCACTTCCTCCTCCACACACTTTCCTCCCGCGGCATCCAGGATGCTACTTGCTTTTGCTTCTCCTTTCACCTCGTTGCTGCTGCTTCTCGGGGGCTTTCTTGGTTCCTTCTGTTTTTGACCTCTAAATGCTAGAATGCACCCGGTTGAGCATCGACCTCGGATCCAGGAGATCGGGGTTCGATTCCCAGTCAGGCACATGCCCGGGTTGCAGGCTGCAGCCTATCAATGACTCTCTCATCATTGATGTTTCTATCTCTCTCTCCCTCTCCCTTCCTGTCTCTGAAATCAATAAAGATATATTTTTTAAATGCTAGAATGCTCCAGGGCTCAGTCCTCTGAGTTCTTTTCTTAATGCCTAGAGTTATTTTGTTTTATTTTTTCCAAGCTTTATTGAGAGATAATAGACATATAACATAGTGTAAGTTTAAGGGGTGTACAACATGTTGATCTGATACACTCTGAATTCTCTATCCATGTTCACCATGCAGGTGAGCTCATCCACTTCCGAGCTTAAATATACTTCTGTCAAATTTATATACTCATCTCTTACTTCCCTTCTAACCTACAGACTTGGAAATCCGAATGCCTACTTGATATTCTAAGACATAATTAATAGACTTTTCAAATATACTATGTCCAAAAACTGACTCATAGCTTCATATCCCCCTCACTTTTCCCCCATTTTAGTAAGTGGCAAGTCCATTCTGCCAGGTCCTCAGGTCCAAAATCTTGGGCTCATCCCTGACCTCTCCCTTTTTCTCTTATACACTACATCCAAGCCATTGACAAACTTTGTCGATTTTACCTCGTAACATATCTGGAGTCTGTACTCTTGATGAAAACTATCTGCTGGGATGAACGGGTGTGTGGATGAGCAGAGTGTACAGTTCGTGACTGGAGGCGTGACAGAGGGTTCAGTCTGTGTGAAGGTACAGAGACAACAAAAATGAAATGAGTTCTTCAGTGAATTTAAGCCTGGTTGGAATGAACATGGACGGGGCGGGAATGGTGGGAAATCCGGTTAGGAAGATAAGCACTATCCATCTAACATTAAGGGGTCTGAATCTTACCCCAAATGCTTTAGGAAGTCACTGAATGTTTTTAAGAAAGGGAATGACCTTGTCAGATTTATATTTTAGAAAAAGCCCCCTGGGGGTTTGTGGATGAATTAGAGGGAAGCCAAAACTGATCAGGGAGGCCGTGGAGACTATTTTAGTTAATTCAGTTACGAAGTGAAGACCTCGAGCTGTGGCAGTGGCTGTTGGGTAGACTTGCCAGATGTCCAGCCCTGGCCGGTGTGGCTCAGTTGGCTGAGTGTTGTACCATGCCCCAAAGGGGTTGCCGGTTTGACTCCTGGTCAGGGCACATGCCCAGGTTGTAAGCTTGATCCCCAGTTGGGGGCCTGCAGGAGGCAGCCGATAGATGTTTCTCTCTCACATGGATGTTTCTCTCTCACTCTCTATCTCCCTTCCTCTCTCTTTCTCCAAAAATCCATTTAAAAAAATAAAAATAAAAACAGGCACCAGGCCAGGCCTGGAGGGAGATGTTGACAGGCAGAGGCAGTTCTGAAAAATATCTACTTGCTTTAAATAGTACTCTATGTATCAATAATAATTTCCACTTATTTTCGTACCACTTGTATATCTCTTTTTTGTTTTTTAAAGAAACAGACATTCTTCACTGCAACAACCTGCGAGAAAAGCAAGGTTGGAAGTCTAATACCAGACCACCCAGGTCAATGCCAGTGAGCCAGCAACCCTACCAAGGCATGATAGTGGATTAAGGGTAAGAACTAGTTTGCCCTTAAGATTAATTCTTCCCTCAGTAAATGAAGGGAAGCCATCACACAGCTAGCTTCTGAGTCTTCAGGTTGCTGGCACGGTGAAGCTCACCATCAGCCCCAAATGTTTCTCCCTTCCCAGGAATGACAGGAATCTCCCCATTGGCAAAGCAGCCGCCTATGCATCCCTCCTTCCCCCAGCCCCTCTCCCTGAGGTTCTGAGAGAGCGAGTGTTCCAACATCAACTAGATTCAGACACGGGCCCAAGGGGAGGTCTTAGAGAAAGGGCTCACTCACAGGACTGGAAGGGAAACCAGACACATTGTGGGGGTGCTGAGCTGTGGTAAAGCTTTTCAGTCTCACTTCTCTCTTCTCTGGGAAGACATGACCCACCCCTTCCCCCTCTGGGAATGCCAACAGTGGAAGCAATATTCATTCTGTTTCTTGCTAAAGATTTTGGCAACTATATTTGTGTGCCTTTGCCTTATAAAGTGTGGTGCCTCACTCACAATTTAGAAATGAAAACTGTAGTAAATGGGTTCTGAACCTTTAGCTCCTGATTTCTTAAAAGGTGTGTGGAGGTCAAGGTATCATAAGAACTAGTCACCCCCTCAGAAGCGAAGAATGAAGACCAAGAGACCCTGTTCCTGGGACAACCAGTCAAAGTCCCCAAGAGGCCTTTGGCAAGAATGGTAGGCCATGGTAGATCATGGTATCTTCCTGAGCTCGGAGTCCCATTGTATTTTCATTTCTGATGGGAAACCTTTAAAAACACCAGAGAAGGAGTGTTAGAAAGAATACCTTAGACAGAATTGTACAGTCAGTCTATATTCATTTTCTACTTCTGT